AAATCTTATATTATTTTGTGCATTTATGTTATTGCAAATGTGAACATTGATTTCTTTAATAGGACTTGGGTAGCTTATTGAGCAAGAAGTTTGCTCATCCTTTTATTTATATGTTATTTAAAGATAAGAAAAAGGAAAGCAAATAATTAAGAGTTTTTAAAGTTAGGATTTATCTGAGGGCAAATCCAACTTAATGTATTTATTTTTGTTAATGCAGTTAGTAAGTTATATGTTTTTGGTACATTGAATGTCAATTATATCCTGATTTTCTGAGATTTGGATATTTACCAACTAATGCTGGTGTGCATTATTCTTTTTTATTGGATCAATAAGATTAAATATAATTATTTTATTATAAGATCCTAGATCATGACAAGAGGTCACATAATAGGGTGAAGCAATGACGGCTAGGCAATGATAGCCTGGCCATAGTCAAGCGATGTTAGTTTGTGGCAGTAATCATTAGCATTGAACATTGACAAATCACTACTAAGCTCTAAACCATTCCAGACGTCTTTCATATGAAGAATAAGAATCTATTTATGATTTTTTTATTTGTCATTTTGATAAATTTAGTTAAAATCTCCAAGCACTACACTCCATTGAACAACCCGCGTTGATTTCCTCAATTGGAAACTTTTTCTTAGGCATTTTAGAGCATGATTGACTTCAAAATTGTCTGATATTGGACTAATTGAATCCTCTCATTAAGAAACTCATTTTCACTACAACCACGAAAGATTTAGGAATTATCAATCTCTTAAATAGTTTTACAAACTTTTCAATAATGTTTCAAATACTTGATTTGAGCTTATTTGTATTCAGATCAAGGCGCTTTTGGTACTCTTCAATCCATCTTATCTAAATGTTCATCTAACTATAAATTGGAATTTAGAGAAACTTGAATTAATTTCTGAAAGTTTTCAATATAAGTGTTGCAGGCTAGAATATACGTGACGATGGAGTTGTAATTTTATGTCTTAGCGTTGCATGGATATCCAGCTCACACTTAGAGAACACAAGATTTTTTACGTGAAAAATCCTGGAAAGATGAAAAATCATGGGGCCTAGCCCAGTTGAAAAGATTTCACTAGAATTTGAGTTGAGTACAGTGGGCTGACTCAGCCCAGAGGGTGATCAGATTACAAATGTCAACAGTATGGTTGAAGTCTAGTGTTAAATCTGACGTCACTTGGAAGTTGGGGCATCAGTTAGAAATCCGATAGTGACTTGGAAGAATTCTGGCTTTAGTTGATGGTCTGGCTGAGTTTAGGGCCTCAAGTGTTGGTCTGGTGCAGTTCAGGACCTTAGGTGGTGGTCCAGCGAAGGTGAGGGCCTTAGGCGGGGTGGTCCGGCGAGGGAGAGGACCTCTGGTGGTGTTATGGCGAAGGTGAGGGCCTAAGGTGGTGGTCCAGCAAAGGCAAGGGCCTCAGGTGGTGGTCTGACGAAGGCGAGGGCCTCAGCTGGTTGTACAACGAAGGTGATGGCCTTTATTGGTGGTCCGATGAAGACGAGGGCTTCAGGTGGTGGTCCGGCGAAGACGATGGCCTTAGGTGGTGGTCCAGCGAACTCAGGCGGTGGTCAAGGAGGAGCTTCTTCATTCTCTTCTTTCTCTTCTTGCTTCAGTCCCCCTTTCAAGAGAAATGAGGGGTCTATTTATAGATTTATGGAGTGTCATGACCCGTAAATAGGTGAGAGATCAAGGGTAAATGGGGAGTGGTTGGATGGACGACCGATGTTGAAGCCCGGCCCTTGATCATGGACCATTTGATGGACATTTGAATGTCTTAAAGATTTCGGAATTTGATGATCTTGGGCTCGTTGGATTTGTCTCGTCGAGCTGCTCTATTCGACTATAAGCACGTTATGTTTGAAAACCGTTTGGTAATCCAAATTGTGGCTCGAACCTTTTAACGGCGCTTCTAACCCTTGATTTAGACCTATTTGGACTCGGATTGGGTTGGATTTGGTGTCGTTGGGTTCGTATTCTTGACGCTTAGTTCAACTATAAGTTTGCTGAAATCAGAGTTTGGGTGGTCCCAATTTTAATTTTGGAAGTTTCCAACTTGATTTTGCATTGAGATTCGTTCCCGATCAAGATAAATTTTTGATGATGTATCAATAAGTAATGTGATTAGATAAATTTTTAGGTGATGCATAAATGATCAATATGAACTTAGGTAAAGGTCCCTTAAAAAAAATGGGAGATACAGGAGGCATCAATGCTGTAGTTATTTGTTTAATCAATCAGGCACATACGATATATCTTTTTGACACAAGGAGATAATGGGCATCTTTGGCACTTTAGCTTTATTGTTAAACGTAGATACCTTTGGTTGATTTGACGAGCACCCATAGCCTCTTATCTTCTAATGATTAGTGCAATAAAATTTAATTTTGATCTTTAACCATGGATCAACATGATAAACGTGAGTTATTAACAGAAAAACCAGTTTATGATGGGCGCTCTTTAATGCTAATCTAGATGTGCTGTGGCAGCACGAAGAAGTCGAGGACAATTGCATAACTAATTAAGCAAATCATGGGTTTGGCTTGTTTGGCAATTTTGGTGGATGATTCTCTGCTCGGTTTTTGGTAGCCTTTTGTTCGATTTTGGCTGCTTATTTAGGTCTTATGGTTGTTGCTTTATCTTCCTTCAAGGATGGTCCTGACTTTGCAACCGGGTGGCGGTTCTGAGTCCGAAAGCCTTTGGGGTTGTACTTTTCATTTTATTTCCAGACTTATTTTCTTTCTCTAGCTTTTTGTATTGCTAAATGATGTGTTTTTTTTTTTTTCTTGATTAGGTCTCCTTTTGGCTTTGCTTTGTATGTTCCTTTTCATATTAATATTATAAATATCTTGCCAAAAAAAAAATCATGGTTTAAGCGTCTTTCTCTTTTTAACTTTGAACAAGTTCATCTTAGCATTCGTAATGACTTAATTAATAGTCTTGCTTATTGATATAAATAATTAAATACATTAATTAGAGAAGTTGTATACAATGCATGAGAATATGGATAAATATTTTCACTTTACCAATAAAAAGTATGAGCAAACAAACCTAATTTATGTATTAAACATTCTTATATATGCAAATGCTTAATAAGTAGAAATAATTAAGGGTCTCTTAGAGAAATTTTTTTTGCTGTTTTGTTTTTTTAAAAATCAATCATAATTTCATTTGACTGTTTGTTTCTTGTTGTTTTTAAGAAAAATTTGTGGTGGAAAGCAGGGGCAAAACCAGCCTTAATTTTTAAGGGGGGCTAACTGTTGGTGTTGAGTTGAATTTGGCTCGACCCTTCACTACAAGAAAACGAGTCCGCTAAGTAATTTCACAATCAACTTGATAAAACACTGTGCAGCTATCCCAAATAGGTCTTAAATCTATCACAAATCTGTCATAACTCCATTTTTTATGCACAAAAAACAAATACTTGAATAAGTAGGGTAGGCAGGAGGAAGACTAGATAGGGAAGGGTATAAGTATGAGAGAGAGAGAGAGAGAGAGAGAGAGAGGGGTATGAAGATTTGATTTTTGTATTAAAAAGTAATTTTATGAAGTAATAAAAAAGACGACCCAAATAAAATCTTAATTATATGAAAAGTTTCTAACATGAGAAGGGTGGAATAGTAATTCCATGATATGTCACAAGATTGGATTATGCTTAAATTAATCGGCCTACTAAGCTTTTTTCAGTTCTATACTTTTGTGAGGCCAATATCCTAATAAAAAATATAGGAAGATTTTTCAAATAAATAGAGGATGACTTAACATTGCCTATTTACAACCTTAAATGTATTAAATTTTTAACGCCAACTTAGATTTCTGTTAAGACAGTTTTTTATTATTTTGTAAAATTATTGTAGAGAAAGTAATCTTTTAATTATGTTATAGAAAATAATTATGTAGTAAAAAAAAATTAAAAGAAGCAATAAAACATTGAAAAAGCAGTCGAAAAGATGTCCCGAACTAAACTTTAATATAGTTTCTTTAAAAAAAAATAAAATTGAAAATTTTATAAGAAACATTGCTCAAATTAAAGAGACATGCATGAGAGGGCTAATACATGCATGCCTTTTATCCTTTAACCATAAAGGAAAAAAAAGTATGAAAAAGATAACCGATTATTTTTAAACTTTAATGCTTGCTGATGTAGTGATGTCCTTCAATCCAAACTACCCATTCACACGAATCTTAAAGTGCATACCTTCAGTAATAGAATTCAAATAAGAGAATAATAAAGGAATTTATTTTAAATTAAAAAAGAAAATATATATATACATAACCTATTTGAGTTATTCTAATTACCCCTAACCATTAAAATTTTTCTCATAATATTTGAAGCTTAACCAGAACATAAACTAAAATTGGATGATGAAATAATTTTATATCAATTATTGTATTTTAAATCAATTATAAACTAATTTTTAGCAGGATTTACTCGCGTATCTAAGAATTTTTATATATTTATAAATCTAATATTTAAATTTTAAATTTACTTATATAAAATTTTAGTGTCTCAATTATTTAAAAATATATACATAAGAATATATTTTATTTTTATAAATAAATATAAATGATATTTTTAATATGATTTAAGAATTTATATATTATATAAAAAAAATTAAAAATTTTATTTAGAAGATACAATGTGATATGAGTGAAATTATTCTGTGCAGATGCAGACGTCGTCCTGAGGTGAATCATAACGCGTCACGTCACCTGTTTGCTGTGTACCATGAATTTGTACCGCTGTGCACCAGATGGCGTGATTCGCCTCCCAAGGATCTGATATCCGCACATAATAATTTCTAGTGATATGGGGGAAGAGCCATACGCAATATTCATTGATGATCCCAAATCCTACTCCATCCCCATTCACCACTACATAGTGGCTCAAAACTTTCTGACGCATTTGATCATTAATTTGCACCGAATTATTTAGTATTAATATAAAGTATTAATATTAAATTATATCGAATAGAATAATGTAAAAAATACAATAATTGATATAAAATATTAAGAGCTATGCTTAGCTAAAAATCAGTCCACGGTATTTTCAGGCTGTATAGAGCTTTCTCTTTCCATTATGATTCTCCTATGGTTCCACTGTAATCAATGATTCTCCAGGCACTATCCTTCTCATTCCTCTGCGTATATAATGCCACAGCCGTTGCCCTCCCCCTTCTCTCAAACCAAAAAACCATCTTCAAACCTCGGAAGAATAAAAAAGATGCCTCTCACCTCCATCTTCTTTTTCTTGTTCCTCCTCCCCTCCTTCCTTCCTCACCTCTCTCACTCCCTCCAATCCCAATCCAACTTCCTCTCTCTAATGCAACAATCCCTCTCCGGCATCACTAGCAACTGGAATTTCACCGCCAGCAACCCCTGTAACTTTTCCGGCATCACCTGTGATGATGACGAGCACCAAAATATAGTCCAAATTGACCTCTCCTCCTCCTCGCTCGCCGGAAAGTTCCCTCCCGGCATCTGTTCGTTCCTGCCGCTTCTCCGCACCCTTCGTTTAGGCTTCAACAACATCCTCAACGGCTTCCCAATTGACCTCCTCAACTGTTCTCACCTAGAAGAGCTCAACCTCACGAGCTCTAGAGTCACTGGAACCATACCTGATTTGGCCCGACTCCAATCTCTTCGTTCTCTTGACCTCTCCAACAACTCCTTCTCCGGAGACTTTCCACTCTCTATAACAAACCTCACCAATATCGAATTTATGAACTTTAATCAAAATCCAACCTTTAATGTTTGGAGGCTGCCGGAAGCCATTACAGGGCTAAAGAAGCTCAGGGTATTGATTCTTTCGACAATTTCCATGCGAAGGGATATACCTCCATGGATTGCTAACATGACCTGGCTCACTGATCTTGAGCTTAGTGGGAATTTGCTCGTTGGAAAGATTCCGGCGACTATTGGAAGAATGAAGAATCTCCAGTTACTGGAGCTGTATTATAACCTGCTCGAAGGAGAGATACCAGAGGAGCTTGGAAACTTAACAGAGCTTGTAGATATCGACTTGTCAGTAAATAAGCTCACCGGAAGAATACCGCAAAGTCTCTGCCAGCTGCCGAGGCTTGGAGTTCTGCAGCTTTATAGCAACAGACTCACCGGAGCAATCCCGCCGGTGCTCGGAAACTCGACGTCGCTTACAATTCTGTCAGTTTATCGAAATTCACTCTCCGGCAAGGTTCCGCCAACTCTCGGCAAGTTCTCTGAGCTGCTTGTACTTGAGCTCTCAGAGAATCAGTTCTCAGGGGAATTGCCAAAAGATACTTGCACTGCAGGCAAGTTGCTTTATTTCTTAGTGCTTGACAATCAATTTTCTGGCGAGCTACCGGAGAATTACGTGAGGTGCTGGTCTATGCTGCGTTTTCGAGTAAACAACAACGAGCTGGGCGGTGAAGTACCAAGCTTGCTCTTTGGGCTTCCTTATGCTTCCATTATTGATCTGAGCTTCAATCATTTTCACGGAAACTTTACGAAATATATAGAAAATGCCAAGAATTTATCAGCACTATTCTTGCAAAACAATAAGTTTTCTGGCGGGCTGCCGCCGGAGATCTCAAAAGCCGCCAGTTTGGTGAAGATAGATCTCAGCAATAATCTTTTCTCAGGTCCAATTCCCGCTGAAATAGGGTACTTGAGCAAGATGAACCAGCTTTCGTTGCAGGGGAACAAGCTTGACTCTGTCATTCCTGAATCCCTTTCTTTGCTTAAGTCCCTCAATATGCTTAACCTCTCAAATAATCTCCTCACAGGGGAGATACCCAACAGCCTCTGTGATATCCTCCCCAGTTCACTGGACCTTTCAAACAACCAGCTTTCTGGTCCAGTTCCTCTCCCTCTTATCAAAGATGGACTTATTGAAGGGGTTTCAGGCAATCCTCGATTGTGTGTTCCAATTTATCTCAATCTCACTGAGCCAATTCTTCCACTGTGTCCACAACCCAGCTTTAGAAAGAGACTGAGCGGCATATGGGCCATTTTAGTTTCTGCAATTCTGTCAATTCTCGGGATTCTCTTGCTGGTTAAGCGCTGGTTGGGCAAGAAGAACACGTTTATCGAGCGCGATCAACTTTCAACCGGCTCGTCTTTCCCCTACGACGTCACTAACTTCCACAAGCTAAGGTTTGATCAGCACGAGATAGCAGAAGGGTTGATTCATAAAAACATTGTTGGTCATGGAGGATCCGGCACCGTCTACAAGATAGAACTAAGTGATGGTGAGTCGGTTGCCGTGAAGAAGTTATGGAGAAAAATGGCAAAGGATTCTTCATCCACCGAAAAGAAGAATTTTGAAAGGGAGCTGAGGGCAGAGGTGGAGACACTAGGGAGCATCAGACACAGAAACATTGTAAAGCTCTACTGCTACTTATCAAGCTTAGATACCAGTCTTCTTGTTTATGAGTACATGCCTAATGGAAACCTCTGGGATGCTCTTCACAATGCCGGGAACTTCCTGAATTGGCGTAGCAGGAATCGGATTGCACTTGGGGTAGCGCAGGGACTGGCTTACCTTCACCATGATCTCTTGCACCCCATCATTCATCGAGATATTAAGAGCTCAAACATACTCCTTGATGCAGATTTCGAGCCAAAGGTTGCAGATTTTGGAATTTCCAAGGTCTTGCATGCTGGGATGAACTACACAGCATCCACCACTGTGATTGCTGGCACCCATGGATACTTTGCACCAGGTAAATCTATTAAGTTCTTAACTATTTCTTCATATGGAAAGTTGTTCACTGCGTTTGTATCAGAATTATGCAAACTAATAGTTAAATTTCATGGCAGAATATGCCTACTCCACCAAAGCAACTACAAAATGTGATGTCTATAGCTTTGGTGTGGTGCTCATGGAGCTGATAACAGGGAAGAAACCGATCGAAGCTGAATTTGGGGAGAACAAAGACATCATTTACTGGGTTTCAAACAAGATGAATACCAGAGATGGGATATTGGGGGTATTGGATAAGCGGCTATCAGCCAGCCCATTCAAGGAAGAGATGATCCAAATGCTGAGAATTGCGATGCGGTGCACCTGTAGCTTGCCAGCCCTTCGGCCATCCATGAATGAGGTTGCCCAGATCTTGTTAGAGTTAGAAACATGCAAGTATGATGTAAAAAATGGATCATCAATCAAGCTAAAGGATTCAGTTCCCATCACAAAGACTAGTGACTGAATTTGAGCCAAGATTGGTGATCACGATAGTACCAGGATCACTTCTTGGCTTAAGAAGCACTTGTTAAATATATTGGTTTGACATGACATCTGGGACTTAAAGAGGTCTTTTGGTTCCTCTAATGTTATCATTTCCTTCTTTTTCTTTCTTGTTTTAAGATTGAATAAAGCTACTCCCCAAATCTACACTTTAAATGAATTTTTTCAGTTCATATGAATCTTTTGTATGAAATATTTTTCCTATTTCATATAGGTCATTCAATCATTCACAAAAAAAAGAACAAAAAAGAAATCATGAAATCTTAAACATTTTCAGATTTTATTTTTATTCAGAATAAATAAAACTATAAATATTTTGAAGAATCTACAAGGTTACACAGCTTTGTAACTACGCAGCATCTGGTGCCTTGAATGACCCTACTTAGGCTCATTAAATAATTTCCAGCCTTCTGCTATTCGCCAGTAAATTCTGCCTTTTTCTCATTTTATTTGGTGAGGGTGATGGAGCCAAATAGGAATGAGGTGTAGGAACCTTTCTTGTCTTCCCACCCAAGTGGATTCTCTCTTCTTTTAAATTTAAAAGTTTGTTGAATCCTGTTGGTGGGACCTATTCATATAACTATCCGTTATGTGGACACTGTTCGGACATGGACAACTATATTCCCATTAACAAGGATTAATTATTCTACGCAGACACCAAACGTCATTTGGAGACAAATCAAAGCACTATACGTTACTTGCTATGTACCACGGCTCTGTACCCGCTGTGTACCGGGTAACGTGGCACGCTCTGATTCGCCTCGGGATACAGAGCTACGTCCGGTGTCCGTACAGAATAATGTTTCATTAACGTTTAAAATGACATGTGTTATATAAATAAAAATATCTTTTTTAATATAATTAAAAAGGGAACATCTTCTTGCACATATTTGTAGGGCTTTTTAATAATAAATATCAAGATTATTTTAATTTCTTAAAAAGCAGTGTATCTTTTTATAAAAACTATTTAACCATATGAAATATTTACTAAGCCGAACTGTTTCCCATACTTTATTCCCTCCATGCTCCAACGTTTCACTGTGACATAGTCTACTCTTATTGTTAGGAATAGCCATATCAAACTAAGTAGCTTATAAGGACTATTTAGAGTTGACTCAAACCCAGGTAATGATTTCAGCCACCTGAGAGGCGCACTTGCCCAAAATGAGCCTCACACTTAAAAACATCCATTAAAAAAGCTTAGATCATCTTCTTAGGCTCTTCTTATAGACCCCCTCCCCCACCCATTAAGTTAATTTAATCTCAAATGTTACAACAACAACAATAACATCAAGCATTTATCTCACTACATGGTAACGTGGGGTCGGCTACATGAATCCTTTTTCTCAATTGTGTCCCTTTAAGAGTCAAATACTCATTTAAATCTAGTAAAGAAAGATCATTTCTAAAATTTTTTAATTAACTCTTTTTAGGTAATCTCAAATGTTAGAAAATTAATCACAGAATTGCGAAATCTTGCACTATACTTCACTTTTACAATGCTATAAACATTTCCCACTTTTTAGACTTTATTATGCTATAATGGTAAAATAAAAATATATGGCCTAATTGCAACTCAGAAAACTTTTTGCGAAGTATTATGAAGTAAACCACACAGCAAAAAAAAAAAAAAAAAAAACAGCGAAAATGAACATAAGGATTTCATATGGAAAAATTCAAAATTGAGAAAAAAAACTACGGAGCAACACATGACTAAGAAATTCATTATAAAATTGGGAGAAATTGGACAAATCTCACTTCTCACAATCTCTCGTTATCTCTCTTAACTTCTCTCTTCATTTTACCCTCAGAACAGGGAAAGAGATGCTATTCAATACATTAAAAGACATAACCCTTTAAGTGAAACAAAAAAAAAAAGGAAAGGAAGAACTACTTAGCCCAGCTCGCAGCATTGCGACGCTAAGGTCTGGAGCACTGTGGTGCTCCACTGTCTATATCTGAGTCCACCATACAATATCGTGGTGCTACAACCTATAGCGCTGCAGGCATCGATGTTTTGGAGTGCCACAACACTCATCTCTCTTTCTCCAATCCAAGCCTATAACGTTGTAGCACTTGTATAGGAAAAAAAAATTTCGGGCAAGGCCTCCAAAACCCGAGCAAGGGGAGCATAGCCTCCATGCAACCCCAAACAAAGCCTAAATTTTGCAACAAAACAGCCCCTAAAGTTCACACTATGTCATAGTTTTTCAATTGGGAATAATTCTAAGTCAGATAATTACCAAAGTTTTAGCATCATATTCGAGCTAGAGACCTCTAATTAAAGCTTTGGCATCTCCATGATTTATTCTAGCATAAGTCATAAATGATCAAATATTACAATTGAAATGTACAACATAAACAATTATTTCAGCATTTCATGACAACTAGTATATAGAGACAAATTGTCAAACAGTTGGCATGCAAACTGCTAATTCGACCTTGGAAGAACAAGCGCGTCAGAGTCAGAGAAAAAGAATCATTACATTTTATATTTGCAAATGTATAAATCTGTAATTGATAGAATTGATAAACTACTTTTCAAAATCTCGATGAGATCAACGATGTCACTGTAGAAAAAATTCATTTTTGTACCTTACGTGCCTTCTGCTCCTCCATCATCAACAAGGCAAACACCAACAGTCAATGCCAAAGCTAATGCAGTTCATCACTAACAAGATAGATTCCTCCGTCTACATCGATGCTTGTTATTGACATCAACACCAACACCTATCATAACTACAAAGTTATTAATGTTCTTCGAAAACATTAATACAAATGTTAGTTATTGACAACAAGTTAGATGTCTGTGATCGACATCAACATTGACACCTATTATCTCTATCATGGCCTTCTTGGTTGCTGGTATTCCCTCCTATAAAGAGAATGATTAAGTAGCCAACAATGATCACTTGATACTAAATCTAATATCTCAAGGCACCTTTTGATAGTTATCTTCTTTAGTTTAGTTCTATTATGTTATATCAAATTTATCTCCAATTATAAAAAATAATATCATTTATAATCTGTTATTCATATTAATAAATCATTTTAATAGGATCAAATCTTGTGGTTTTCCCCCTTGTGAATTAAGAAAATTTTCTTTATGATATACCCCCAACTTATTATCATTGCATGTTACTTTTTAAGAAAAAAAAATTTATCTTAATATTATATAAAAATCTTCCATGCAGATAGATAAGTTGATAAGGCAGTAATTAGTTTCCTCTTGCGTGAGAAAAAAAAAAAACCACTTTATCACAGTCTAAAAGAAGTGGAGCAATTACCATAAGCACCATATGAAAAAATTGTATTTGCGGACCAAATCCGTTAGAAATGAACATTATCTAACGGAAATATTGACTTTGGGGTGGATTTTAGACCGAAAATGGGTCGACAATAAAATGCGTGTCGATAATACGGTTTGGATAGAAAAAGACCACTGGAAATATCCTTGTTTTCTGTTAGAAATGTAACCTAAAAATGGCGGTTTCGTATCCTTGTTTCCGACAGAATTAGAATATAGCCGCCGGAACTTCCGGCGATAATTTCCAACATAAGCGTTGCAGCAATTCATCGTATCGTAGTTATCAAAAAATAATCAAAAAGAAATTCGCCGAAAACTTATACCATAAAATTTTAAAAAAAAATCCATTCCTCTTGAATATTCTACAACACAACAATCCTACAAAACATGCATATATCATACACATATTTCAACTTCAAACAAAGATACTTATGCTACATATAATGATACATTTGAACACAAAAACTTATTCTACAATTACCAAATAGTTCTAAAATAAACATCATGTTCATTACACAATAAAATTGGACCATAAAATGTTCAAACACATAGTAATATTAATAAAATGTCTAATTAGAATCATTTTTGTCATTCTTCTCCTCAAACGCTTCTTTCCACTAAATTGCTCCCTCATTCTCTGCAACTTCTCCAATATATGACTTTGTTGCATCTATCTCTACATCTGCATGTTAGCTTGTGATTTTTGGGCTTCATCTAGCTCTGCTACAAGGGTAGCCACCTGTTGGCCATACAAAGTAGCTTGATTGTCTGCTGAGAAGCTGGAGCCACCAGAGGTCTTCCCCTTGTATGCATAGGCTTGTAAGCCTAATCCATAAACTCGCCTTTTCTACATTCCACCTATCACTTGCAACCAAGTGCGATAGTCAAAATAATCTGCAAATCCCCCATAAGAACCCTCACCTGCTCTGGCCTGACTCTCTTGAAGTCGTGTTGACTTTTCTTACAAAAGTTAATACAAGATTAATCAATTTACAAATGAAACCTAAAATATTAAACTTATATGCTCACGTAAGCTCTCATTGCTCGCTGATCAACCTATTGTTGGTCCTCTTACTGCTTTTGGGTATGACTATACAACTCAACAACGGACAGGTCACTACCAAGCAGCTCTTTCTATAACATATTAACATTAGTATTCATAACTAAATAAATTATTAAAATTATTTCAGAACATTGCATGTGCTAAGTGTGCAAAATTGAGCCCCAGTATGGAGTGAACTGCCCATATACCCTACGTTAGAAGCCCTGTTATGTCTATTATGGCCCCTTCTGGTATAATCTGGGTTGTCCCAAGCACTTGTCAGCTCGGTCCATACACTCTCACCAATCCAGAGGGGTTGCTTGCTCAACTTCATAATGTCTATAAATATGTCTCGCAGGCGAGTTGACTCTTGCTTCTCATTTTTTTTTCTAATCTTATCTTTGTGCTTGTGCAACCAGTAAAAATCTTTATGTATATAAAAATATATAATATAGAATATTTTTGTTAGCTTGATTAAAAAAATATAATATATAATATATATTTTTATTAATAACTAACCTCAAACTCTCTATACTACAAATTGTGCACTTCATTTGGGATTTTTTTCCATGAAATATAAGGAGCATCAAACTTGCTCCGTATGATGTACTGTATCTTATGCATGGACCGCTTCATTGAATAAAACCTGCACAAAATGTGTTTGGTGAAAATACATTTCTCAAATTATCTTAACAGTGTTAAGAATGTCCTTAAAATGTATGTGTCACCCTCATTTGCAATCCAAATGCGCCCATCTGATGTCTGCTCTATTGCAATCGGGGTGAAAGGTCCACCTACATAGGGCTGAGGT